CAAGTACCCAGAACCTCCAAATCTCAGCCTTTGCCAGCTGCACCATGGTGGAATGATTCAAGGGAACTAGAGATGCTGCCAGCACCTGCAGAGCCCTCTGAGGTTCACGAGGGGAAAGCCCTCCAAGGATGGCGAGCCTCCTCTGAGCACCCTGCAGGCCTCTGATTGCTCTGGGATCTCCTTCACACCGGCAGGTCTTCTGCGGGTGCAAACATCACCCCCTCAGGCCGAAGCTTCCCTCCTTCCTTTCCTCTTCTGAATCCCCCCCAGAAGGCCCACCCACCAGCCTGGAGGCTTTCATGTGACCACTACTCACTGAGCAAAGGTCTCCTGTTTAGAGTGAATGTTTCTGGAGGGTCAGAAGCCACACAGTTCATTTGAGGGCACTTCCTTTAAGCCTTTTAACAGGAGAGAAGGAAGAAAATGGAGGCATCCTTCTAGGAGTGATGCTCAGGACACAGTACACCTCTTTGCCTGGGGAAAGGGTATGCAGAGAGGACTGAGTCCCAGGCCCTGCCCAAGAGCCTGGCCACTTCTCTATTGGTAGAAGTGGAGGGAATGTCCTCAGGGCACAGGACAAGCACCAGAGGCCTGTTGGCTCAGGGTGTGAGTTCCAGGAAAGGCAGAGCAGCCTTAGGAATCCCAGAAGGAAGCAAGCTGAGCTTAAATTAGATCCTGGGGGCAATAGGGAGCCGGTCCCTGGAGCTCTTGTGCTGGAGAGTGACATGATCAGGTCTGTGCTTTAGGAAGACCAGTAAGGCAGTAGTATGGAGGACACGGTGGAAGGGACAAGGCACTTAAGAGGCTGATGCAATAGTCCAGATGACAGATGATGAGTGTAGACACTAGACTGGCATTTCAGAGAGTTAACCAGCTTCCCTTTGTCACTGTGGCCTGTGTAGACAGCCAATGTATTGTCCCTGTGTCCCTCATATGAAAGACCTCCTTCCTCTCCCTGTGCTTCTGCTGCTGCTGGGTCTGGGCCTGCATTTAACCAGCCTTAACTCCCATAGCTCAAGTTAAGTCCTCCCCACAGGCTGGGCCCCAAGCTGCCTGCAGTTGGAAACCTGAGGACCCTGGAAGGAAACAGTTCTGACCTGGAAAACAGGGCCAACCCCAGCAGCTTTGCCACTTTTGAGGCTCTCTCCAGGCCGTTGGGCCTTCCCCTGAGCCCCAGCCTAATCCATTCATTTTAACAAGCATTTATTAGGCACCTTCTGAATGCTAGATGCCCTGAGCACAAAGACAAAATGGCTCTCAGGGCCCTTCCATCACTTAGAAAGTAAATACAAGAACATTTAGGGATGGAGGGAGCAATAACACCCAGACCGATCCGGAAAGGCTTGAGGGGAGGGGTGGGTTGGGGCAGGTAGCAACTGAGCTGAGCCTGGAAGGAAGCTAAGAATTCTCATGGGTAGAGGTGAGGAGTGAGGGCAGTCCAGGTATGGGGAACAGCCTATTCAAAGGCACAGAGATGAGAGATGTCACATAGGATGTGAGAAGCAAGCTTGATTGGAAGCCGAGCAAGGGAAACAGAGTAATAATTCTCAAAAAGGGAGTGGGAGTTAGACTTTCCAAACTTATATGCCAAGCAGAGGAGCTGGTACTTTATCCTAGAAGCAAGTTCCTGAGTAGGGGAATGACCTGGTCAGACTTGTGCTCTAGGAAAGTTGTTTCGGCGGCAAGGAGAGGCTTGATTGGAAAGAAGAGAGCTTGGAAGCCAGGAATCCAATGAAGAACCTATGCCAAAGATCTGACCTGGGATGGTGGCCTGTGGGTTTGAACACAGGAGGTGTTGGAGAGGTTACAGAGACAAGATTCTGACAACCTGATTAGATTGGGGGAGGAAGGTGGTGAGTGATAGATAAGTCAAGGATGACCCTGAAGCTGTGAGCCTCCTTTCAGCAACCTGGGAGGCTAGGAAGATGGTACAATAGTCCAGGTGTGAGGTAATGAAGTTTTGCACTAGGGTAGGGGCAGTGTCAGAGGAGAGAAAGGGGGCATTAGGGAGATAGTACAGAGGTGAAATGGGCCTGAGATGCTGCAGAGGTGAAATGGACCAGAGGTGCAGCACAGGTGAATTTGACAAGAGATGTAGTATAGGTGAAATCAGCCAGAGATGCTGCAGGGGTGAAATGGACCAGAGATGCTGCAGAGGTGAAATCATCCAAAGATGGTGCGGAAGTGAAATTGACAGGCTGGATATGGAGGAGAGGTTTTAGGGGGAAGGATATGAGTTCCATTTTGGAAATGTTAAGTTTAAGATGTCTACTGGACATTTAGTTTGAGATGTCTGAAAGGCGGTTGGAGATCTGCAGTTGGAGGTCATCAGAGAGTTTGGGGCAGGAAAGGTAGATTTGAGAAACATCAGCATGGAGATAGATGGTATTTAAATCCATGGGAGCTGGTGAGATCACCCAGTGAGGTAGTAGAGAGAGAAGAGCAGAGGGCCCAGAACAGAGCCCTGAGGGACACCTCCAGTTAGAGGACATTACCTGAATGAGCATCCAGCAAAAGATTTGTGCAGCAAATGTACAAGGGTTTACAGAGTATTTTCCTCATGACCCGAAAAGAAAGACCTTGTAAAGTTACCTTATTTTCTATAGAAGAGGAAAGTAAGGCCTGGAGATACTCAGGGACTTGGCCATAGTCAGTCACATGAAGAGTTGGCAGCAGAGCTCAGGCTCAAACTAAGGTCTCATGCTCAAGGTCAAGTGCTTTCTTTGCCCAACTATTACTTTTAAATTTCTCATTTTATAGAGGAGGATATTGAGGCCCTAGAGGAAGGAAGAGACTCAGCCAAGGTCATATAGCTAGCTGGAGCCAAAGCCGTACTTCCAGAGGGTTATCATTGTTCTATGAATCCTTTGGGGTCCGCAGTTGAAGCTGCCCTCAGGTCCCACCTGGGAATGGGGGGCAGAGAGAGTTAGAAGCCTATGCATGGGGCCTAAGAGATCTTCCCTGGACTCAGGACAGAGCAGAGATCCACAGAAGCAGAATGGCAGAGTGAGGCAGGATCTCATTGTACATCTGGGACATCCAATGGGGAGCAACAGGGTCAGGGTCATAGCATGAGTGAGGGGCGGGGCCCAGATCCAAGCCCAGGCCCTAGTCAGGTCAGGGAAAGGTAAGGCCATGGAGTCTCAGGTGTGGGCTCTGCTCAGGCCAAGACAGATTTGAAACCGTTACTCATCCCACTAGGAACAGACATGAGAAAGAGAACTCCCACTTTAATTTGAATCTTGCGACATACATGAAAAGCCAGTCCCTCCCTGGCCGGCTGGGCCCCAGCCCTGGTTTTATGGCAGAAGCTGCTGATTCACCATCTCCCAGCCAGGGGAGGCCTTTCAGGGCCTCTCCATCCCCAGCCAGGAGGACAAAAGCCGCCGTATGTTGCTCGTGTAGAGAATGTCCAGAGATCCACTGGGGTGACTGACGCAGTGGTATCTTTCCTGCTCCTGCTCCTGGTCACCTGAAATGCCACTGGTCATTTCCAAGGACTTACTTATTGTTGGCTCCTGGCTCCTCTTTGAAAATGTATATACCTCTGACAGAGGTCAAATCTTAAGCTATCAGTCCTTGACACCTTAGTGTGAAAAGGAGGTGACTACTTGAGTTCCCATTCATTTATGATGGTAACTAAACTGCATGAAACATTTTATTTTTTAAAATTTATTTTCAAATATTTTTTCAATTACATGTAAAAACAATTTTTATCATTTTTTAAAAATTTTGAATTCCAAATTTTCTCCCTCCCCTCCTCCCCTCCCCCTAGACAAAAAGGCAAGTAACATATTTCATGTTAGTCATTTGTGAAAGAAAACACAGGCAAAAAAACACAAGAAAAAGAAAGCACAAAAAAAAAAGTCAGACTCCATAGCGCTTTTTATCACGAGCCCTTTGGGACTGTCATGGATCATTGTATGGCAGAGAAGAGCTGAGTCTTTCACAGTAGATCATCGTTACAATGTTGCCGTTACTGTGCACAGAGTCCTCTTCTCCTGGTTCTGCTCACTTCACTTTGAATCAGTCATCTAAGTCTTTTTATGGGGCATTTTAAACCCGGTGCTTTGTTTTGTCTCTCGTGTGGTGCTTGAGACATCTCTGGCAGGGGCTAAGAACTAAGACTGATGTTATGACATGCCTGGTTACACAGCTGGCAAGTGTAGGAGGCAGGATCTGAACCCAGGTTTTCCTGACTCCAGGTCCAGCACTGTCTCCACTGCCCCAGGCTGTCTCTATTTGACTGCATCCTCTCCAGGGTGGAAGAGGGTGGCCAGATGACACAGGGTGCTGGAGCAGAGGATAAGGCTGAGTTCAAATCCTGCCTGGAATACTTACCAGCTAGGTTACTCTGGGCAAGTCACTTCACTACTTTGTGCCTCAGTTTCCTCATCTGTAAAATGAAGACAATAAGAGCACCTGCCTTACAGGATTTTTGTCAGCATCAAAGGAGGTGACACTTTGCAGACCTTCAAGCCTGATTGAAATGCTAGCTACTCTCATTAATGACTGCCTGTTTTCAGGTGGCCCTTTCTCCACCCGACTTCTGCCCATATGGACATTCACTCTCTGCCTTCAGAGTGGGGAAGCCTAACTCTTTGGGGGAAGGGCCCTCCGCAGCTCTCAGGCAGACAAAACTCCCTGATGCCCAGACCAGTGACCCTGAAATCCCTTCCTCATTCTCCCCTTCTATGATCCCCACCTGGAGTGAACCTCAAGGCAGGCAGGCAGCTTGAAAGGGGACGAGAACTTGGAAGAAAACTCCCTGCAGCTGAGCTTGTGTGGGTCCCATCCCACAGCTGCTCCTGGGCCTGCCAACCTCGAAGGCCCTTCTGCCACAGTCACTGAACTGGGGAGCAACAGGCCCTGAAGCCTGGGGCCCTTTGTCCCAGCAGTGGCCTTATATGCCCTGGGATTGTCCCTGGCATCTTGGTAGATGCCTCGCTCGTGGTATTCGACCCACCCTATTCATGATGATCCAAATCTCCTTTCCTCAGGTGGTCCAAGGCCTGGTTGTAGGGCAGCTGACTGAGCGGTACTCCGAGGACACCTTGCTCCAGGCCAGCATCTTTGTCTTCAGTTCCGTGGGCCTGGCTATGGTGAGACTCGTCATTCGTTGGCTCCTTCCCTCGCTCTGAGCATTCGTCCTTACCCTGTGCTCCTCACCTGTTCCTCATTCATTTGTTCGGTCATTGGCCCATCTAGCCATTAGTTTACTCATTCATTCACTCATGTCCTCATTCGCTCATTCACTCTCTTATTGCCTTGTTTCCTCATTCCCTCATTTGACATTCTCTCACTAGTCACCAATGCGGAAGTTTTCATATAGGAGAGCATATGGCACTAAGAATCTTGTAGAATTCTAGGATTCAGAGCTAGCAGGGACCCATGGGTGCCTAGTCCAGCCCTCTCCCTCCCTAGACAGAGGCAGAAATGGAGCAGGCCCAGGAAGTGTGAAGGGACTGGCCTGGGGTCCCACAGCTAGGCGGTGGTGGAGCTGATGTCTGCTTTGGCTTAGGGCACCAATGTCGGCCCTGAAAGGAATCCTGGATGTCATCTGGTTAACCCCCCACTTTACAGATGGGAAGGAACACAGAGTCAGCAACAAAGCCTGGCCCCGATGCTCAGTCCTCCCGGCCCACCCACATCACTGCTGCCTGCTTTGGTTGCTGCCAAGGCCAGGAACAGGATGCCACATTAGGGACTTCGTGTCTTACCCAGTGTGGCCTTCAATGAGCATGATGGATGGCTCACTCCCAGCAATGGCTTCTGCGCAGCTGGTGCGAAGGGTCCTGTTTGATTTGACAAGAGGCCAGGACCAGGGCCAGTGGCTCCCCAGGGACATGGAGCTAGCGGCCCAGGCAGTGCCCAGAGGGTGGGCATGCTCACCCAGGGGCCAGGCCAGGCTGGGCCTTCACAGTGATTCCCCCTTTCCCTCTGCCCAAAGGCAGAGAAGGCTGTGAGAGCCAAGGTGAAGTGAAAGCTAGGAGGGACCGAGATATTCTCAGGGCTGGTTGGACGCTCCCAAGACTGGCAGAATTCCAGGCTGGACCAGCCAGGCCAGTTCACCGGGGAAATGGAGGAAGGGGGGTTTCTGATGCCTGCCCACCCCCCTGTCTATGCCAGCTTCCTCACCCCAGCCTACCCCTGCATCAGCCTCCCTGAGGGAACATCTGACTTCCTCCCCCAGCCCAGCCCCAAATGGACCCAGTCCCTTAGCCAGGTAGACCAGTCAGTTCTTACAGCTTCCCAGGCAAGTGTCCCCCACTGAGTCCACTCAGTATGTGCAGTCCACCTGCACGTACTCATACACACTCCCACTCACTCTCTCATATATACACTGTTGTCACACACACACTGATCCTTTCTCTCACACACACACACCCATATACACTGTCACACAATTCTCTCAGACACATACACATACCCATATACACACACTGTCAGATGCACATTGTCTTATACACACACATATTTATTTATACATACATTCATACACTGTTACACACATAGTCTGCCATACACTCACACTGTTATGCACACATTTTCATACACACACACATATACATACAATGTTAAACACACATTCTTTCATACACACACTCATGCACTGTTACACAATCTCTCATACACACACAGTCTCATACACACATATTCATGCACACATGTTCATACACACACTCATACACACATGCTCACACTGTTACATACCCATTCTCTCACACACATATGTTCATACACATCCATATACTGTTACACACACACTCTCATATATACACACATACTCATACACACTCACACTGTCTCACACAGACGTGTTCAAGCACACCCACACTAACACACAGCTCTCTCCACCACAGACTTGGTTTGGGTGTGGCACACAGAACTCTAACCTGAGGAGCCCCTCACCCAACCTGGGAGGGTCCTGGTGGTCTCTGAAAGACTCTTCCATCCCACAGGCCCTAATGACCAACGTCTTCCATTTCTGCCTCATTGTCCCCGGCCTGGTGTTCAGCATGTGCATTATGAACATCGTCACAGACAGCATGCTGACCAAGTCGGTGCCCCCGTCAGACACAGGTAAGAGGCAGCAGGTCGGCAGCCCCCCTGAGCACGGTCTCTGTTCTCAGCACAGGGCTAGGGTCCGTGGGTGTGTGGGAGAGGCTGGCACAGCCCTGCCAGCCTCAGGAGTGCCCCATGGCAGAGCCCAGTCTGTCTGGTGACCTATGTTCTCCTCAAACCCCCTTTCCCACCATCCACCCCCCCCCCCCAGATAAACTTCCCAGTGCAAAAAGCTGAGGCAAGGTTGGGCTGATGAGACTCAACTGATAAGAAAAGAGATACTACATTCTCTGCTTGGAGAAAGGCAGCCTCAGGGAGGGGAGGCCAGCCTGCTTGGAGAGAAGTCTGGCCTTGTAGAGAGGAGATAGAATGGGTGAGGGCCAGCTTGAGGGGGCTTTGAATGCCATGTCCAAGGGCTGAGCAATGGGGAGCTACAGAGAATCCTAGAGCAGGTGAGGGGTGGGGTCAAAGAAGTGCCTCGGAATAACCAGTCTGGTACTAGAGGCAGAGAGAATAGTCAGGCAGCCTTCATAGTAGTCTCAAGCTGGGTAATAAATGGTGAGGGCCAGGGTGGGAGTGGCAGAAGGGAAGGGGAGGAACAGTCCCTCCTCTTGCCATCCCCATCCCCCAAGAGGCAAGGTATCCCAGTAGTTAGAGCCACTCTGGGCCTGCACAGGCCTCTTGCTGACTGGGCCTCTCTGTCTCAACTTGCCTTTCTGATGAATGGGACAAAAGCTGTTAGCCCTGCCTGGAGCCCTTCCCAAGGGGCACCCTCGACATGGGAGGCTCCATCCTACCCCATCCCATCTCATCCCATCCTCCCTGCTTAGCTGTGGAGAATCCTGGAATGTCCCCTTCTCAGGGAGGGGCAGCCTGAGGAGAGGCCCGGCCCCAGCCACGAAGTCCTGTCTGTTTCTACCTCTCACATCTTCATCCACCCATTTGTTCAACAAGCATTAATTAAGTACCTACTGTGTGCATAGACCCATTTTGGTCAGAGACGCTGATACAGAGTTGAGATCAGACCTGTCCCATCTCTGACCTAGGGAGCTCACAGCCTCATGGAAGGAGTAAGGCACAAACTTGAGGTACTGGGTACAAAACACAGAATGAGCCACACATCAGAGGGGGCTAGTACTGAGCTGTGTGAGGGCCTGGGCAAAGATCATTCCCCACAAGTATTTCCAGAGAAGGTGGCATTTGAACTGGCCATTAAACAATTAGCAGGAGTTCAATAGGCAAAGAGGGTAAGGAAGGGCGTTCCAGGTGTTGGGCACAGCCTGAGCAAAGAGTGGGAGGTGGGCAGGCAAGGGGAATATTCAGGGACAGACAGCTGTCCAGCTTGACCGACCCATGGGGTGAGTGATGACATAGGCCAAGAGGTTCTGAGTTGTGGACTTTATTTAAGAGGTCAGTAACTCATAGTGCTGGGTGCGGGTGGGTGGGTGTCTGAAGGTTCCCACTCCCTAGTGCATCCAGGTCCAGCAAAGAGAAGTCTATGCTCCTCCTAACCTCCCCAGAATTCCAGGCCACCTGGAAAGCCAAGATCCCTTCAAGGCTCCCCTGGGTACGGCCCCCAGGAAATGGTTCTGGGGCAGAAGGGCGGGCCTGCAAGGAGCGGGGGAGGTGACACCAAGCAAGCTGTCAGAGAGCCAGGCCACAGCTCAAAGGCTCTTTGTGGAGAGCCAGGAGACAGCTTCCTGCCTGTAAAGGGCTGTCCTCCTCCATCCCTCCCCTGAGGGGAGAAGGACTGAATCCCAGGCAGGCACCTCCCTCTCTCCCTCAGCTGGGGCTGAGCAGCCTGTTAAGGGGACTGAGCCCCCGAAGCACCCTGGGTCTAAAGGCCGGCCTCTCTGCTTGCTGGCTGTGTGACCTTGGGCCTGTGTCTTCCCTCTCTGAGCCTCAGTTTCCTCATCTGTAAAATGACAGGATTGGCTGAGGTGGCCATAAAGGATTCCTTCCAGCTACCCCTTGACCATTTGAGCTTCCTGCGTGTGGGATATAGGCCCAGGGCAGCCAGGTCTGATGGCTGAGAAGACAGAGGAGGGTGGCCCAGGGCAGCCAGGTCTGACAGGTGAGGGTGGCCCAGGGCAGCAGCTGGAAGCTGTGGGTCAGCCCTCTGCCACATCTGCCGATGGCACCTTCAACAGCTGCCTCAGCCCCAGACATAGGACACTTCTCTTTGCCCTCTGTGCCTAGCTCTGTGCTCAGCCACTCCAGTGGACATGGTAAAGAAGCAGACTGGGTGCCGGCAGCCTCTGGGGAGTTAGGCCACTGAGAAAATCAGGCTTGCTCCCAGGAGGCAGGGAGAGCTCATCCCCGCCCCCACCCAGGACTGAAATGAGAAATGAGACCAGAGGAAGGATATCCTGCCATGGGAAGATGAGTGTGGGCGGGGCAGGGCAGAGGAGGCTTCATGTTGGAGGTGAGACTCCCGTCAGGCCTCAAAGGATTGAAGGATGAGTAGGCTGTGGCATGGCTGAGGAGAAGGGTGGGAAGAACAGTGTGAGCCTTGTATGGAGGTGGGAAGAAGTCCAGTGGGCAGAGGATGCCAGGCTGGCTGGGGAGGACATGTAGGAGCTGAGGCCAGAGAGCCGGGAGCCTGAGCCATGGGCTGGCCTGGGTCCCGTGAGCACTTAGTGGCATCGAGGGAGAGAGAGGGAAGGTCCCTTGTCCAAGGTGGGCACCTTGGGAAAGTGGGTGGGGAGAAGCAGGTCCTGGGAGGCTTGGGCACGGCCCCGCGCTGGCCCACTGCCCTTTTCCTTCAGAAAGAATCAGCTCCTCTGTTCCCAGAGCGGGGCTCTGGGAACTCGTAGGCATGCAGATGGCTCCAGCTAATTGCTCTCAGGATCTGGAGCAGCAGCTGTCTGCAAGCGGTGTGGGCGTCTTCCTGGGAGAAAGGCCGCTATTAAAATACCTGCCACCCATTTCTGATCCTGGGTGGCTCTCTGGAAGCCAAGGCAGGGCGGCTCTGCCCACAGCCTGGGCTTACAGTAAGTGGGCCCTGCCCAGGGCCAGGCTTCTCCCCTGGCTCTCCCAGGGCAGCCCTGACGAGACAGCAGGCTCCTCACCTCCTCCCCCCACCCAATCCACAGTATCTGGGGCCTGGGGGACAAGGGGCCTGGGGCTGGGGGGGTGGACGGGGAGGGGCGAGGGGGCGGGGGGACTCAACGACATGAAGGTGCGTAAGCACCCCACCTGCCTTGGCCCCAAGTCAGCACAGCCAGGCAGCCTTGGAGAGATGCCTAGCCCCACAGAATCACAGCGAGTTTGAGCTGGGAGGGACTACCGAGCCAGTCCCCTCATTTTACAGATGAGGAAACTGAGGATCAGAGAGGCAAAGCAAGGTAAACATCAGTGGTGGGCTCCAGATTCCTGCTGGTCTCCTTCTCAGCCAGGGATTCTGCCTGAGGCCCCAGGCTTCCTGCTTTCCCCTTGGCCTAGACCCTGCCCAGCCCCCAGGACCCCGGAATTAATCCATCCCTGCCCCTGATTCTCATCCTCTGTCCCAGACATCGCCATTCTCCACATGGCCTGCCCCCATCATTGGGTGACCAGGGGCTTTTTGGGTTGTGTGGCTGGATAGCAGGAGCCCCAGGCCAGGAGGAACACCTGCCTCCTCATCCTTCGAGACCTCAGTTGTCTCCTCTGGGAAGCCAGCCCTGATTTCTCCTTCCTCAAATCCTCTCTGATCCACTCCCAGCCAATACCATAAGCACATATTAAGCACCTACTATATACAAGGCCCCCTGCTGGGGGTCCTAATGCAAAGAGGAAACACTCCCTTCTTGCGCCCATCACTCTCTGCAGTGGGCATGCTCTGTGTCCATTTTGTGATCACATATGCACACACGCACGCACGCACGCATGCACACAGGAACACACCTGCACACACGAGCACACGGAGACACACATGCACACATAGGCACATACAGACAGACAGACACACGTGCACATGCACACACATGCACACAGAGACACGCATACACACAGACATGCACACACACAAACACGCACACACGTGTACACACACAGTATAAACCTAGGAGGTGGGCAGGTTTTTCGTCTTGTGTCCCCAGGGCTGAGGACAGCAGGCCCTGGATAATTATTCACTGGAATGAGTTGGTCAAGGAGAAAGGGCAGGAGGACTCCTCCACAGCTCAGCAGCAGTGCCCAGGCCTTTCCCCGCCCGCCTGCCCCCTGCCACAAAAAGCCCAGAGTGAGACCTGCAGGCCCTTCTGGGAGTCCTGCATCAGCCTGGCGGCTCAAGCGCTCTCCTTGGGACCCTCATTCCCTGACTGGTCTGTGTCTCCTCCACGTCCCTCTCCCACAAGGCAGGGCTGGCTGCCTGCCAGACCTGGGATATGGAGGGAGCATGTGCCCCAACAACCTGAGAACAGCTGTTTACCCAGCCCCCACCCCTGTGGCCTCAGAAGTGACCTGGGTGTTCCCCCCCCAAGAGGGTTTGGGCTACAATTATTTACTAAGATTAGGAAAAGACCCCAGGGCTCACTAGACCTACAGATGAGGAAACAATTGTCCAAGGAAGCAAAGGCACTGACCCAAGGTCACACAGTAAAGGAAGATCCAGAATTCTATCCCAGTTCCTGTCACTCCAGGGCTCTGCCTCCTCCACTGGCTTTCTGTCTTTGTGGGTGGAAGGGAGCTTCCTACTCCCCACAAACCACTGATCCCCAGAGCACACAAGCAGGTGTTAATGTTTGACCACTGGCTGATGTCCAGTGGTATCCTAAAGTGTGACCTCATAGGCCTGCCTGATGGAAGCTGGGCCCATCCCTTGGGGGAAGGGGAAGAAAGGCTCCATGAGTCTTGGGGTGCTGGGAATCACATTTTTCCTACTGGACAGTCCGCTCCCCGAGGGCAGGGGCTGCAGACCCTATCTATGCCCCAGAAGGCCTAGAGTAGATCCACATTCACCTAGGCTGATGCCAACAGCCTTGCCTGAAGCTTGAATTAGAGGCGAGAGTCATCGAGGCCCGTGAAGGGCTGTGGAAGCAAGATTCTGTGATGGAGCAACGACTGCTTCCCAGGCCCCAGCAGCCCCTGTGACTCTATATCCCACCACTAGTCTGTAGCCTGCTGCCAAGAAGCCCTCCCTGCAGTGGGCCAATGCCAGCCCGCAGCCTCCCTGGCCATGGGAAGCTCAGCCAGTTCCCAACAAGGGCAGATACCATCTTCGTACAAAGGCTCATGGGAGCAGGGAAGTGACCTTGGCTCTAGAAGGCTCTGACAAGAGAAGCCAGCCCCTGCCCAGTCCTTCCAAGCTGGGCAGGCTTCGAGGAGGGCTCTGGCAACCCACTGCAGAAAGGGAGCAGATGTTTATTAGGTCACTCCTGTTCTTGGTTAGCTGAGGATACCCCCCACAAGAAAGGACAGAGCCCCTGCCTTCAGCAAGCTTATAGTCTAATGGAAAGTATCACTAATGGAAGGGGCAGCTAGGTGGCACAGTAGATCTCAGAGCACCCGCACTGAAGTCAGGAGGCCCTGAGTTCAAATCCGGCCTCGGACCAAACACTTGACACTTACTAGCTGTGTGACCCTGGGCAAGTCACTTAACCCCAATTGCCTAAAAAAAAAAGAGGGGAAAAAAAAGAAAGTATCACTAATGGAGAAGGATGGGGTGTCGCAGTGACTAGAGGTCTGGAAAACCTGAGTTTGAAGCCCACCTCACACACTCTTTGAGCCTTAGTTTCCCCAGGTATAAAATGGAAATAAAAATAGTGCCCAATCTAATAGGTGTTTAATAAGAAATGCCCACTGGCTGATTCCACTGCTTTGCACTATATGTCGGCTATGACAATGAGGAAGAAGAGCAGCCAGTCAGGTGAGGTGCTTGGCCATACTCTGTAGGGGATAGTGAACCACTGAGCAGGCTGGGACAGGCCAGAGCCATCCAGGAGAAAGCTAACTTTGGGGGGCACTGCGAAGGACAGAGGGGAGAGGGGAGGGGCTGGACAGGGGGCTCAGTGCTACGATAGTCCAAGGGGACAGGCCCAGGAGCTTGAATTAGGATGTCTGTTGTCTGGGGACCAGCCTAGCTGAGGACGGGGCAGGAAAAGCTGAGGCCAAGGCGAGGGTGGGCTGGACATGGCAGGGGGCACTGGTGCCAAGGCCATCGGGGCCCTGGTGGAGGGAAGATGCCCAGGAGGGTCAGACAACTCAGAGCCTGGTAGCCTCTGGCCACTGGCCTCAGCCCTACTTCCAGCTTGGCGAGGAGCTCTCGGGGTAGCCCAGGCTGAGACGCCCCTTCCTTCGCCAGGGCTTCCCAGAAAGCCCAGGTGCTCTCTCTTACAGGAAGGGAGCACACTGTCTTCTGGGGACTGGGCTGGCTCTCCACTCTGATAACATCTTTCTTGGCCAGCAAGAACCAGAATTATTGTTCCTCAGCCACGTTGCCAGTCTCCTCTGTTCCTGTTTACCTGACACACTCTGTGGCCCGGGAGCTGGGGGCAGCAGGAAGCTCCTGTGGGCCTGGCATCTTGGCACCTGGTCTATCCAAGACCTGGCTGCTGGGCCCCTCCTGAGAGCTGGCTTTGTTCTTAGCACACTACCTCTCATCAAGCACCTGGCCACGCCATCTCCTGGGAGGTCCATTGAGGGCTATGCTGACTATTCTCGTCTTAGAAAAGAGAAGAAAGCTGAAGCAGGTGGAGAATTGGCTTCCCCAGGGTGATCCGGTCTGTCAGAGGTCCTTTCTGACTCTGGGGCCAGCACAGAAGCTATCTATGCCACCTAGCTGTCTGAGCTCCCTTGCCTGACATCACATTGCCCCCTTCACCAGAGCTGATGTCTAGGATTTGGGAATCAATCAGTGAACAAGTACTTATGATACACTGATTAACAGCCCTGGGAAGCTCGTGCTATCATTATCCCCGTTTAAGAGACGGGGAAACCACAGTGGGTTGCCCTAGTCCATGTCTGAGGCAGGAGTCCAAAGCCAAACAGGGTCCCATCTGCACTCTAGCTCCCCTCAGACGTTGTCCCGGCCCTAGGGCCCAAAGGCACAGTCCTCAGAGAGCTCTAAGTCTGCTAAGAAAGAGTACCCCGGCAAATGAGGGCAGAGGAAAACAGGGGTGGAAATAATGGAGCCCCCAGAGTGGAGTGGGGGCAATCCAGGCAGACTGCATGGAGGAGATGGGTCTTGAACAGGGCTTAGCATGTGAGGGTAAAATGGAGGATGCGGCAGACGGCTGAGTCCTGAGTCCAGCTGTTTGCTTGGTCTCCAGAGAGGATGACCTCTCTCCACAGGGATCCTCTGGGGGTAGTCCTCTGCTCCTGAAGGCATCAGGGCCGCTTCTTGGTCATATCTCCCTGTGGGGCCTTGGAAAACTCACTTCCCCTTCTCTGCACCTCAGTTTCCTCCCCTGTAAAGTGAGGAGTTTGGACGAGCTGTCCTCTAAGGTTCTGTCCTGCTCTGAGCTGGCGATTCTGGGGATGCTACACTCCCCACTGGAGAATGACCTGCGGTTGGGGAGGATCAATGCCTCCATTGGACCCTGACTGCTGTGCCTAATGACTCTCTCCCTTGGCCCCCAGGAGCCATGCTAGGCATCTGTGCTTCCGTCCAGCCGCTGACGCGGACCATCGGCCCCACCATTGGCGGCCTCCTGTACAAGAGATTTGGAGTCGCAGCCTTTGGCCACCTGCAGTTTGCCGTCAACTTGCTCCTGTTCTTGTATCTGTACAAGAAGAACGTTCCCCAGAATGTCAAGAAGTCTCCATTATCTTTGCTCCAAGGATGAGCTTGTTTCCCCTCCCCCCTCCCCCCACCCCTGCAATAAATGCCTTGGGCCCTTGGGAGCCCTCTATTCTGATGATGCAGGCTCCCTGCATGCCCAGCCCAGTCCAGCAAACAGAAGGTCACCGGGTGGAAAGGCTTGAACGGACCATCCTCAAGCATGGTCTGTGAGCCATAGTCATCAGGGGGGCTTCCTGGAGGAGGCAGACTGGAACAGAGTCCTAGGAATTTTATTCAATCACCACACACTGACTGGTTAATTTCCTACTGTGTGCTCTGCACTGGTGTAGCAAATACAAAAAGTGACATTATCTTTGCCCTTAAGAAGATTCTAGTCCATAGAAGAGACCTGACACAGATGCATAGGAAACAAGGTAGAGTAGAGGGTCCAAGGAGACAAGGCAGCCTCTCAGTTGGGCCCTGAAGACTTTAATAGAGGGCATAGGGATGGAATGCATTTCAAAGTATGGGGGACTGTGTGGACAAAGACATGGAGGTAGGAAAGGGCTGGTCAAGAACAAGAATGTAGAGAACATGAAGGGAAGTATGAGATAAGCCTGGATGGTGGATTTAAAGCAAGTAATACAAGGCACTGAGTGCCAGGGCCAGGAGTTTCTGCTTTCATTGTTAGGCAAAGTTGGGGGTAGCCATTGAAGGCTTTGGAGCCAGGAGTGGGACAGTCAGAACATTAGGCAGGTGGCTCAGGTGGCTGTGACAAGAGACAAGGAGGAGGGAAGAGAGACGGGAGACAGGAGGCCAGGCTGGAGGAGAAGGGCGAGTGGATTGGAGGGAGGTGCTGAATCGGAGAGTCCATGAAAGAGAACAGAATTACCCAGAGAAGGCATGCCAACCGCCATGTTCTGGGCTCCTTCGCGCCTGCTCTGGGTGGAAGCCAAGAACCCACTTTAAGAACCCCAGTCAAGTAAATTTAAGAAACCATGGAGTCCTCCCCATCTTCATTTTATAGATCAGAACCATGAGCCACAGAGAGGAGGAAAGTCAAGTTACTGAGCATTTATTGAACACCTACTGCATGCCTGGCACTGTGCTGAGAAAGTGCTTGCCTGAGGTCACACAGCTACTTAGTGACAGAGCCCAGATTAGAACCTGACTCTCCTGACTGCTCACCACGACCCCTCTCACTCCCCTATGGACCTGAAGAAATAAGCGTTTGGGGGGGGGGGGCAGACAGGGATGATACAGAGCTGAGCTGGCCCCCTGGCCGTAATCTAAACTGAGCTCCAAGCTGCCTTGGTCCATGAGTCAGAGGATGCCAGAAGTCTGCGACCTCAGGGGCCACTCAACTCTGGTTTAACAGATGAGGAAAGAAACTGAAACCAAGTACCTTGGCCAAGGGTACCCAAGAAGTTAGTGTCAGAGCGGGGATTTGAACCCACAAGCTCTGACTCAGTGATCAGTGCTCTTCCCCAGTAGTTTGGAGGCCTGAGAAATGGAATGGTTGGAGACAATTATTACCTCTGTCTGGGCGGATGGGCTCACAGTAGGGCTTGTTGAGATGGGTTGTGCGGCCCCACTAGGGAAGGGCCCATACCAGTTCCCAGGTTCCTACATAAAAGGCCTCATTGGGCCTGGGGCCAAGAGTGAAAAGTTTCCCCAGGGAAGGGATGGTTTTTCCAAAGGAGGCCCAAGGGTATGGAAACTGAGAGCCTGGACTGGTCAGATGACCCCTGCAGCATCTGGTCTCAGCCAAGCAGGTCTGAGGGAGTACTCCCCGAAGCCCTGACTGCCCCATCCAGGGCCCTTCTCCTTCCCCTTCCCTCAGGCCCCAGAATGATGCCCAGCCCACCCAGGGGCTAGCGCTCTCACCCCAAACCACCTCCGACCTCTGTCAGGTAGCAGCATTTCCCTGTGCTGTGCCCTCATTCAGCCCAGTGTGGGTATGGCCAACCACGGTATCCTGGAGGGGGGTTCCTCCAGGGTCATCAGCCGGTCAGCACTCCTTACCCCAAAGGAATGGAGCTCTGGCATTAGTCCCTGTGGTCTGGTTACTCACCCATCCAGCCATCAGCGAACATGCATTTATTAAGCACCTCTTGCATTCAAGGCCCTGGAAATCCAAAGACCAAGACCCACATCCTGGTATCACTCGCTCCAGGGAGAGTCCTGAGCCCCAAACCAAGGGACAGGAGGAGAGTTCTCTTGCAGTTCCAGAGGCTGCCAAAGTACCTTCCTGCTCCAGGAAGTTTCTATTCACACAATGGCTCCTTTAGTGTGTCCTAAGCCCTGAAGGCACAATGCAAGAGGTAGGAGAGGTTTCCTCCAGAGAGCTCATGGATGAAGAGGTGAGGTAAAATGGGGGTCCAGAAAAGTAGGATGCCAGGCTGGCATCTGTCAGGGCCATCTGTAAGGGAGAGGCAGCAGGTGAGAATTCAGAGGCTGGTCTGGGTGTCTGGGGCAAGATGAAAGAAGGGCTTGTCTGTGGAGAGCTTAACACCACTCCCTCGGATTTCCAATCAGAATCTTGGAGCTCATTCAAACAGCCCCAGCTACCTCTGAAGGCCATGCTCTAACCTCCCCCTCCCAATACTGCTTGAGCCTGGGTAGACCTGGAGCTCACTTCCAAGCACAGCTGCCCTTTCTAGCAAAGGCTCGATTCTCCCCAGAAAGCATCTCTGGGCAGAGCAGGCTCTGAGGCTTTCCAAGCTGAGGAAATTTAGGCTGGGGAAGAGAGGGAAGTGTGCAGCAGACCTCCAGAAGCTGAGTCTTGGTCATCAGGTCCCCTTCCACGCTCAGGCTTTGGGGAGGAGGGGTGTGGAAGGGATGTCTGAGGCTCCAACACTGAGATGCTATGAAGAGTTTGTGAGGAATGTGCTTGCCAGCTGATTTAGAGGGACACAGGAAATAGGTTTCACCAGAGCCAACCAGGGTCTCTCCTCCCTGGGCTTTCCTGGACATTGAGGGAGGAAATCAGAGACACCAAGGGAGAAAGTCTATGGCTGAGGAGGGACTGTGGAAGCCTGTGGAAGCCTGGGCTCATGCTACCAAACTCCAGCTTTCCGGCCTCCCACAGCACCAGGGCAGTGAGGGAACCAGCCCATTTCCAGCTTCTTCCCCCAGATACCTTTCAAAGCAGTGACAATCCTCCCCCCCCAACCCAAGAGCACAGGTTATGGGTATAGAACAGGGTCCCTCCCTTCCCCAAGACTGTCTCACCCTCCTTTCACACCTTGGTCCCTCCCGACCCAGAGCATCTGATCCACGTCCATGGAGGGCATCAAAAGGGCCCTGCCTTCCCCTCCCCACCTGGGGCCAGCTCCCAGCAGCTGCCTAGGAGCCCAGGCAAGGGAGCTGGGCTGGGAGTCCAGAGCTCTGGGCTCCCAGTCATGACCCTGCTGCAACCTTGGTTTACTCTCAGCCTCCCCAGGAGCTGCAGGCTTCTGCCCTTTGAAAGGCAGGAAGTGAATGGCCAAAAGGTGCTTCAGATCTATGGCCCTTTGATCTCTGATTTCACCACCGATGACTCTTCCAGTTCCAAGAACTTCAGGAAATCTTGAAAGGAGACATTTTACTCCAAGCAGAGCCAAAGGCCTGAGGGCAAATCACTCTGCCGGAAATGGGGGGATGGGGGGGCCAAGGTCACACTATGGTCCTGGAATCCACCAAAGGTCTTTGTACATCCCAGGGTACCCTGGCTGTCCCGTCTCAGCACCCCTAGGAAACTAACCAAGGGTTCAAGCCTCAGCCCTGTTCCTCTGGGGCCCCCACCTCTGGGCATCTCCCATCTGCTGCCTCTATCCCTCAAAATCCCAAATTTAGGTGGAAAATGAACCTCACCGCACCACAGCATGCTAATAAAAAAGTGAACATTGCAAGTAATTTATTTGGAATGGACACATTATGAAAAAAAAATTATTAAGACAGAATGTTTGAAGCCAGCTAGTCACAAATAAATACAAATACATAGATACTACAAATAACTTAAGCAGTGTCCGCCCCTCCAGGAGCGAATTGCCACAGCCTTCACAACTTATAAATAGGTGTCCGAGTTGCACCGCGGGCCCCGGGAACCGGCAGCTGGCTCCCAGACCCTGGTGGGAAAGTCTTTGGTTCCACTTCCCCCCTAAGTCTGGCCCCAGAGGCACATGTTGGGGGGGGCTCTCCCTGCCGGCAGGGAGATCTGGCTCTCAGCTTCAGCATCTCTTCCTTCACGGGCCCTCCAGGGAGCCTTTCAGGGCAAGACAAGCTCCCCATCAAGGTCCAGCCAGAATGTTCTAATGAAGAGAACAGAAGAAACGGGTCAGTGCTAAGGTGGGGCAGTGGAGGGCGGGGAGCTTCCTTCCGGCCTAGAGATAGGAGGGAACCACGGGGCGCCTCTTGAAGATAACCCGAGCAAAGGGAACGCTACTCGTAGCCTAGATCTACCCGGGAGCAGAAGGGCTCAGTCAGAGCTCCAAAGCCCTAGTTGAGACCTCGCAGCCAGACTCTCTAACCTGTCCCCCAGCTTACACTGAGGAAAACCCCGAGAGGCTCCCAGGCCACTTCCTCCATGGGTAGGTCCCCAAACTCTACAGCTGTGAGGCCAGGCCCCGAAGGTCTCCAAGGATCTGGTCTCTCCCAGGGCATATATCCTCCAGGATACTGAGGATGCGGTCTTCAGCGGTCCCCTCCAGCCTTAATACCCTCCTCCTATCATTTTCTAGAATAATCTTCGCTCATCCCACTAACCACACGGAGACACGTAGAAAGGGGAAGGGGGGTTGTCCTGGAGGCAGGAGATAAAGCTTTGGTGATCCTGGCCCGAGAAAAGCCCGAGGTTTTGCCGGTGGAGGAAGGAGGTTGGCCTTGGGAGCGACCCCGAATTCCCCGTGGAAGACCATATGGTCCGCCTGGGCCTGGTTCCCTAGGGGAAGCGTGGACCGGGCCTCCCCGCACCCCTCCCCCCCCACTTGATCCCAGTCCTGCCCTCCCACTCCAAAATCAGAACACCAGAGAGTCAGGAGCTAGACCCGTAAAGTAGCTGTCCTGGACCCGCGCTCCCTCCCTAGTCTGAGTCTGAGCCTTTGGAGACCCGTCCCACCGCTTGGACTCCAGGAGCCGGGCTCGAGGTTGCGTTCCCGGGGCGATGCAGCTGGGAAGGGGAAGGCAGGAATGCCGTGTCCGCCCATCCGTTCCCCCAGCTGCCTCACCTGGGTCTCTCAGTCAGGTTGGGCCGGATAGGCCGACGCGGAGGCTCAGGGCGCGCGGGCCAGC